ACGGAAGTTAAAATTCATCCTTTCCATTAATTTACAAAGGCTTATTTATAGCCTACAATTATGGTGATTAGTCACCAAACTAGCTAAGGATGTGTTTGTCCGTGGGTTTGGATTTTGAGATGGGATTTGAACAGTAAAATTTTTGAATTTGAATAGTTGTATGATGTGATATAAATAGGTGTTGATGTGATATTTTGAATATAAAATTAATTTTTAATATAATATAAAAATGAAAAATAGGTGTTTAATTTGATGTTTTTGGGGAAAAAAAATTGGATGAATAATGGATTGAAAATCGAATCCCCAAACAAAAACACCCTTAGGGTGACATCACAAACAAATGACACCTAATACAATTTAATAATGAGTCATACAATATTTAACTTTTCTTTACAGCACAATACCAATTTTGGCATCATCTTATGTTTACAAAATTTAAGAGGATCCTCAGTTTTTTTAATCTGTTGCATTATTTTGATTAATAATTCAATTATTGAGTTTAATTATGAAATTTTGATAATTTAAAAAATTAATTAAAGATCTTTAATTAAGAAAAAATCAATTAGAAAAAATTATTTCAACTACTTCTCGTATATTCAGGATTAAGTTAATTCTAAATAAAATAAAAAAAGTTTGCAAATAATTAATTTCTGAAATCATATACATTTAAAATATAATAATATATACAGTATCACAAATGATATTTTTATAATATTATTATGATGTTTTATAGTGAAATGTCCTTGGTATATAATCTACTCAATTGATGTTCAAATAAATACATTATGATATATTACTCGCAGATTATTTATTATAAAAAAATAAATTTGATCGTATGTTTCCCAAAATACAAGATTTCCTCGTCACCTCCAATTTATTTACCAACCATAATTTTACCTCGCAGAGACTCCCTTCCCCTTCTCATTGTCCTGCCTCCGTCGACCACGCATTCCGCAATCACTGAGGACGACATCTCTAGCCGGGTCCGCCGCCATCAAACACGCTAGCCACCTCCGTCCTCGATTCCCCTTATATTTATACCTCCGCAGTTGGCAACTACCGCCAACGACATCTCTGGCCACACCTGACGCTGTCAAATACGTTAGCCGCCTCCGCCCTCGATTTCACTTCTATTCACACCTCCATAGTTGACAACGAAATCTTTAGCCGCATCAGCTAATGTCAAACATGTTTGTCACATTCGCTCTCGATTCCCCTATCGTGCGAGGTAGAATGAGGGGAAGATGTAGGGCTAATTGACGATAAACATATTTGATAGTTGTGTTTTCAATACTGCATAATTCTTTTACGGTAATCATGTGTATATGGGTATTTTTTATTGGTTATTTTAGAAAAAAAAAAAATTATCAGCACAATTATTCCTAAAAAGAATTTATTGGTCTACGGATACGTACCATGTATATTCATGACACATATGTTGTTTAACTCATGATACATTGGCGATACTAAACTTTATTGTGCACACTTTTATTTCATGTTATGGTTCATATTTATAATTTATATATTGCATAGTTATGATATATTGATCATATTTAAATAATAAACTATGTTAGATGTATTTTTTACCATTATGTTTATAAATATGATATATAACTTCAATAGAGATGATATATATCAGATATAAATGGTAGATATAAATGGTGTAAGTTGCATATAGGAATATTGCATGTATAGTTATGATATATTTTATTTTATGATTCTTGTTTATAATATTTATTTCATAATATAAAAAATAATTCATTTTTAATATTTTAAAAAAATAATTAAAAAAATATAAAAATAATAATATATTAATATATTTTTAATAATCATCATTAAATATATTTTTTAAATTTTATAGTGAAATTTTAAAATATTATTTTAATTTATTTCTATAAATTATTTTGAAAATAATATTTGAAAATTTTAAAATTTAAAATAATATTTTAAAATTTTTACAATAAATTTTTAAAAATATATATAATGATGATTATTAAAAGTATATACTAATATATTAATATTTTTTATATTTTTTTTTGTAAAATATTAAAAATTGATTATTTTTTATATTACAAAATAATTGTAAAAAATACTTTTACTAAATTATAAATATATATATCAAATAATTTTAACAAAGAAGTCAAAATAATAATAAATATGACCTAAAATATGAATATTGAGAATTGTAAACCTAACCTAAAACAGGGCAGTGTTGAGAAATGATTGTGAAGATGACCTAAAACATGGTTGTGTTGAGAAATGGTCGTGAGCATGGCCTAGAACCTGACAATAAATATGACCGACAATATATGACTATATTGAAAACATGGTTGTAAATATGACCTAAAAAATGGTTGTGTTGAGAAATGATCGTCAACATGACCCAAAATATGGTTGTGTTGAGAAATGATCGTCAACATGACCCAAACCATGGTTGTGTTGAGAACCTGTCATAAACAGTTCGGAACACGGGCATGAACACAACCGTGTTTAGAAATGCAGAGTAATCAATACGGTCGTGTTGAGCCCAATCCGGCCGTATTTCTGAATTATCAAAATGTCAGTTTCAGTCAACCATATTGGGACGAAAAACTTTCATCTGAGTGAGACAAAAAAATTAATAAAAAAATTTGAATGAGACCAAAATTGATAATTATGATATTGAATGACACAAGAATTAATTTTTGCTAAAAACGTATTGTTCACTTGACCAATCACCAAACTACTATTTCAATACAACCAAAAAAAAGAAAAAAAAAACACAAGAAGGGATCTACATGTAAATTGCAGGCAAATTTTTCAAGAATACAACGAATGCGCGTGAATTTGTAGATGAGCATTTTAATTTGATATAAATAGCACTTGAGTTATCTCATCTGTATGTCCCCCCTCCTAGGATTCACATCGCATGTGCAAATGGAAATGGAAATGGAAATGAAACTTTGGTCACAAAAATATAAGAGTATATGGGAAGGGAGGAACTTACACAACACGCTTTGTTCTCTTGAAACACCTGTGCCTGTATGATCCACAGCACCCAATCTGAAAACTTTATTCACAAATACAATACAAGAATCTAATTCCAATTATCTAATCTACAAATTATGGGACATACCCATAGTTTAGATATTCAATTTTAGATTGAGTAGATTTATATCTAGATTTGATCTTATTTATAAATTAGATTACTTAGATTTGACTCTGTTTTGTATTGTCTATATAGACTTCTTATTTTGATGATAAAAAAACAATCTCATTATTTTTCCCAAAAATTTCTAATACGGTATCAAAGCCTATTTTCTCATGCTGTAGATATAGTCTACCAACCTACGTTTCTCCGGGTACATTCAACATAGATTGTACCCGGAGGTCTTGTGATTCTGAAATCTACCTACTACCTGTCTATTGTCTGCTTGCGATATGAAACATGTCTGCGATATGCTTGTTGCCTGTGTGCGATATGAAACCTGTCTGTGATTTACCATTTGTCCGCTGCTTGTCTATTGACTGCGTGCGATCTGTTTGGTGTTTGCGATCTATTTATTTTTTATTCCGGTGGAGAGTCAACTGTTATTTTTATTTGCATTTTTTTTTTTTTTTGCGTCAATATTTACCAACCCGTGTTTCTCCGGGTACATTCAACCTGAATTGTACCAAGAGGTTTTGTAATTTTGAAATCATGCCTTTGCAAGTCGGTCTTTTTGCAAATCTATCTCGTCTGCGATTTGTCATCTGTCCATTGCCGGTCTGTTCCTGCGTGCAATTTGAAATCTGTCTGCGATTCTGCGATCCGTTTGCTTCGTTTCTCCAGAGCTATGTTTATGATTGCAATGAAAGTTCTGTTATTTCCGACCTTGTGGAGAGTACTCTCATTGTTTTTTACTCCAGTAAAGAGTCATGTCGTTTTCGGTTGCGGTGTAGTCATCTTGTTTCCGGCTCCGGTGGAGTCATGTCGTTTTCGGCTCCGGTGGAGTCATGTCGTTTTCGGCTCCCGTGGAGTCATGTTGTTTTCGGCTCCAGTGGAGTAATCTTGTTTTCGGCTCCGGTGGAGTCATGTCGTTTTCGCCTCCGGTGGAGTCATGTCGTTTTCAGCTCCGGTGGAGTCATGTCGTTTTTGGCTTCGGTGGAGTCATTTCGTTTTCAGCTCCGTGGAGTCATGTGCTTTTCGGCTCTGGTGGAGTTATCTCATTTTTTATTCCGGTGGAGTCGTGTCATTTTCGGCGGCTCCGGTGGAGTCATGTCGTTTTTAACTCCGGTGGAGTCATGTTGTTTTCGGCTTCGGTGAAGTCATCTCGTTTTCGGCTCCGGTGGAGAGTCATCTCGTATTCGGCTTCGGTGGAGTCATGTATTTTTCAGCTTCGGTGGAGAGTTATCTCGTTTTTTGCTCCGGTGGATGGAGAGTCAACTGCTAATTTTATTTATGTTTTCTTTTTGCGTTTATATTCAAATTTTTTATCAAACTCAATTGGTTTCTGCTATACCACTTGAGTTTAAGATGGGATGTTGAGATATTTTAGATATTCAGTTTTAAATTGAGTAGATTTATATGTAAATTTGATCTTATTCATAGATTAAATTACTTAGATTAGATTTGAGTCTATGAAGTCTGTTTTGTATTGCCTATATATAAGCTTCTTGTTTATACGATCAAAAGACAATTTCATTATTTTCCAGCAAAATTACTATCAATACCAAATTTAAAGTGGCTAGAACGCAATAGGCTAAGTTGAAAATTGCATTATGTTCCAGCTCCAAATTTCATTTTAAGGAAATGCAGAGATGGAAAGTTGAGCTCACCTCAATCAAGGCTTTTTTCCATGAAAGAGAAGAAATTGCATCTCCATATTTGGATGAAATGACTTAACAACTCAAGAACCGAAGTCGAGAATACATAGCTGGCCGACGAAAAAGAAAGTAGAATAGAATGCATACATACATTGAGAGAGAGACACAGATGGAAAGGATACTTTTTATCTTCTCCTAATTGCAGGCAGATCATGTAATTTTACGATTATTATTATTCATGTCTTATGAAAAGAATGCTTGCTAGCGAGTCATATTACATTTACATATCAAGTTCTCCTCTTTCATCAACAACATTATAGAGATATCACTACAGTACTACTACACCACATTAAGAACATGATGGATCTGCAACACATTGTATAAGTCACTCGACGCCTATATCCTTTTCCCCTCTACTTATTCCCACAAGCTCATGCACAAAAAGAAACCAACATAAACACTTATGTTATACAGAGCTGAGCTGACCAGAGACACATACCGCAACGCTGATGTCAACATAACTAACTTATAGTTGGATTAAAACCGCATTGCATCCCGAGATTGCATTTCAAGGAGGAAAATTCTAAGCTAGACCGCAAAGGCACACACCTCAAATTCAAATATTACTCGGAGGCAGATTCTTGAGCAATATGGCATCAAACCTAGTATTCTTTGATATTTCTATGATGCAGCATGCCATCTCCATCCTCTAATTGTTGGTGAAGCACTTGCAGTTTTTTTGATGCTCAGTGAGTTCCTAATGAATGCACGCAGAATTTGTTAAAAGCAACAAACCAATCAACAACCATGACAACCCACTGGCAAAGACACCACTCAGTCAGAAGCACATTTTTCAACTGGAAACTAAAATATTCTTGTTCAAATAAGCTACTTGTTTACAAATGCTGTTGTTAAAAACAATGTCCAAACCAAAATCATCAAAGTACTGCAATGTGTACTTCACATTTAAAAATATAAAAAGCAAAAATATGTAATATAGGTGGAATAGGAATTGAATTTAAATAATAAATCCATTTAGCATGAATAGGTAGGTTTATTTTTATGGGCATTGATTGCCCCCTACTTTTCCATATGGATTTTCTGTAATTTTGTTGGTTACTTGAAGCAGCCATGTTATCATGATTCTCACAAAACCAAATCATACTTTTAACATTTTTTATGATTTGACATTGCATGCCTACACTTGAGACATACACAGAAATTTCAAACATTATCCTAGTTAGGAGACACAAATCAACATTGATATCCATTTGTTTGGGGCTCTTCTTAATTCAGAAAACCAGTATATTCAATAGATGTTTCACTAAAATTCAGGGCATCAACTTGGAACAATAATGACTCAACAATAGACAGATCATGACCAGGAAACTGCAAGTGAAAAATCTATCAATTTTATCTTTTATCATTTTAAATGTATGAATATTCAAGGATCAAACATCAAAATTGTAGAACTTATAAAATTCAAGTTTTTGGTATAAATAACCTGAATCTGGTTCTGTAGGAACTTGACATAGGCTACAGCTTCTTCTAACATGTCTGCTGTGTTTGTTTGCTGCAAATAAGAAATTAAAAGAAAAGAATTGCATTATAAAAGTTCTTAAGGCAAATGAAATTTAACCATTAATATGTAGTGTATATTCTCAGTTAAGCAACTACAGCTCTTCTGCCTAGAAGGTTTTAGATAATGCTTCAACTTGGAATTGAATAAGGATTCAAACCCATCAGTATTTTTGAGTATCTAACTGCCAAATATGTAAAACTAGTAGCATAGTAGAACCACCATCTCAATTAATATTAGTTGCGAAAACATCCGATGATATTTGTTTAAACCCTTTTTACAGTATTATTTATATAAATTTTAGACAGTTTGAAATGAAATAATCAAGATATCTGTCAATATATGATAAAGCATAACACAGGACAGGTCTAGTCTTTCTTTTTGAACAAATGCATTATGCAGGACAATGGCTTCTTATGAGAAACAGTCACATGTACATGCTAATACTGTTCTAATGTCTAACATAGCTTACTATCACCGGAAATCATGTATATTCTTCAGGCATAAAATAGATTGAAGGTCGTGATTCATTCATGTTGGATGTGTAGATTTCATTCAGGCTAGCCAAAAAAGGATATGAATGACTAATGCCATCAGGGTGTGTTTTGTTTGAGAGATTGGACTATTCATCCCATTTTTTCCCCCACAAACATTAAATCAAACACCTATTTTTTATTTTTTATATTATACTAAAAATCAATTTTACATTCAAAACAACACATCAACACCTATTTATATCACATCATACAACTATTCAAATTCAATTTTTTTACTATTCAAATCCCAACTCAAAATCCAAACCCCCAAACAAACACACCCTTACTTTATCCATATTAGGGACAAGTTCCTGTAGCTTCCGTATCCTGTCGCTAATCCTTGTTCTTCGAACCTGATCAAGTGGAAAGCAACCATATAAAGAATGCCCACAAAAGGATTAATATCTAGTTGTGAGGGTACGGAAACATTCCTAGTTCATCAAACAGATAAAAATAACAAGATAAACTTCAATACCCTCTCAGCAATACTGCGAGGATGGGTAGCACAGCCACGTTTTGCTCTAACCCTGCACATCACGGAGTCCTCCAAAAGCTTATCCATATCAACATCCAGTGCTCCACCAATGCCCCCTTGTACTTGGCCACTTTTCTCTCCTTTCTACACCAAAAACAGGCACAAATGTATTATCATTTTCTAATGGACAAACAAAAGAACACAGACAGGAGCAGTTCATCAGCATGGTGCACCAATTCCAATTTGGCAACATGTGTCTAAACCAATTACACTAATTGAATAATCACCAGGGAGAATAGTCAATAATCCTCATTTAACCATAAAACTGGGGAGAAAAAGAACCCAAAGACTAGGTAAGATTTCATAAATCACCCTAAAACTATAACCCATGTCTATTAAAATCTTACACAGGCTTTGTCCTTTCCAGTCTAACTATAATGCAGAAGATTGACGAACAAATTCAAAAATAGAAAGAAAATAGATTATTCCATATAATATCACCAACAAGGCTTTTCGCTACAAGCTTCAACTACTCAAATGCTTGATTTTTAAATTTATTTCTTATTTATTGAAGATTCGACGCTCTGCACCCAAGAGTTCAACTTAAGGCATCCCAGAAAATGCAAAGTTTACAAAACTTTGTTTGCTTATTAATTCGAACTCTGAGGACCACACATCATTTTATAGTAGGATCACTGTAGTAAAAGTTCACTTCATAAGGGTACCCTAATTCACGACGGGACCTCTTATTTCAGAGAAAACATGACATGAATGAGTAGCCCTTTCTCGTTGCTCCATTTTTTTCTTTTAGCTACTTTTTGGTAATAGACAAATGTTCAAAATCTCTCCTATATCATTGCAGGCTCGTGCTCACTTCTCTTCCAGATTTTCAAAGTTTATCTAATGTGTAATTTGATAGAAACTTGGAGCTACTCAAACAAAGCCCTTTTCAAATGCAGGATAATTTATTGTTCAGGCAGTTTGGAGACGGTTAAATAAACCGTGTTGATGTTGGTAAAGAAAAATAATAATGTGTCTTAGCACATACCAAAGAAGTAGAAGAAGATGATGATAGTTTAGGGGAAAGCTTATCCAAGTCATCGGCGTCACGTGCGCGCTTCGCAGAAGGCGATGAGGCGTAATCATAATTTGCCGGGATTCCTAAGTTGGAGAAGTAGCCATCGGAAGTATTGAGAAGTGACAAAAACTCAGCCGGAGAGCTATTCTGGCGGAGAAAGTTGCTGAGGCCGCCGGGACCGGTGGACTCCAACAACTCCAGATCTATGTCGGTAGCAGCAGAGGCGGGGGGCGGTTTTGGGATATCTAAGACGGCGTCAGATTGCTCCTCGTCGGACTCGAGTAAAGCTTCCAGCCAAGTGGCGGGAGCAGAGCGGAATCTGGCGAGGCCACCTCCACCTCCACCTCCACCGCCACCTCCACCGGCAGTGCCAGTGCTAGCGCCGCCACTTCGATTGAGCTCAGAGCTTCCACAGGCGCGTGGCTGTTGCATCGGCAGGGAGGAAAAATGAGTGTTGCAAAGGAAGAAGTTTGGGTGGCTCCCTTATCTGGCGGATTCAGGTGATTTGTGTAGTAGAGGTCATAGTGTTGTGTGTCTCTCTGTCTGTTTGTCTGTGTGTCCAACTGACCGACTCACTGACTGACTTCTTTCTTCAATTGAGATGAGATAGAGAAGAGAAGAGAAAAGATGAGAATATGATGAGATGAGTTTCCTTCCACTTGCGGAAGCACAACAGAAGTAAATGAGAGAATAATAATAATAATAATAAATGGTAGACAGAGAGAGAGAATTAGACATTGGAAATGGCATCATCCATGATCCATCCCATGATCCAAGGGCAAGGGCAGTCCGGCCCCTACCCACGCACCCGCTGCTAATTCATATGGCAAGTTGCTTTCTTTCTCTGGTGTTTATTTCTGGTTAATTGTACTTGGATTTAATTATTTTTCGGTCAGGCTTATAAGCTAGGCGAACAATATGCGGTAGATGACCTGAGTCGTTGGAGGTTTAAACTCATGACTTCACGGTCACACGTCTAACCTCCATACCATCTGGTCATTCCTTACGAGACAACTTATACTTAATTATTGATTTTAAAATACGAAGTTCAAACATATTAAAAATCAACGTGTAATTAAAGAATAGATTCAAGCACTACAATATGTTGGTTTGATTAATCTTTTGTTGTTTAATAAACCTCAATTAGATAGACATACCAATGAACAAGTTGAGTTCACATTTTTATGTTTGAAGTCGGCTTGTTACAGGAAAATAGCATACCATGTTATTCAATTCCATTTGGCTCATGTTAAACAATTTTCTTTGAATGGAGGCAAACACTAACAGGATATCAGCTTGAATGGTTTTAACTATCACGTGTGGATGGGTAAGATGAAAGATATACTTTACATTAAGAAATGTCATTTACTGATGATTGTTGATGAAAAACTCACGGGTAAAACCGATGAGCAGTGGCCTTGATTCATTGACAAGTTTGTGTGTTGATAAGACAATAGGTAGATGATAATGTATTGAATCATGTTGTTGACGTGGCTAATGCTAGTTCTTTATGGAATAAACTAGAGCAACTATATGCCCGAAATACTGGATATCGCAAATTGTATTTCATTAGGAAATTGTTTGAACTGAAGTATGTTGAAGGGACTCAGGTGACAGATCATTTGAATGCATTAAGGGTTTGTTGAATCAGTTGTCTGATTTGCAGATTAACTTCGAGAATGAGGTTCAGAGTTTATGGTTTCTCAACATGCTTTTGTCAAATTCAATTCTTGATGGTGTCATCTCGATGGAATATGCCAAGAACAATATCTTGAATGAAGAGGCACGGAGACGGCCTCTTGGTGACTCCTCTATTTAAGATGTTTTGATGATTGAATTGAGGAGGAGTGTGAAATGGGATCTGAAGAATAAGGATAAAGGCATAAACAAATTTAGCAAGCATGCGAATATAGCGTGCCACTATTGCCACAAGAAATGCCACATCAAGAAAGACTAATGGAAGTTAAAGAAGTACAAAAAAAAAAAATAGCAATGAGGGAATGAAGAACAAGTTGATATTGTAAAAGAAGAATTCTTGATTATACTTGATGACATGATTAATCTTGTATGCCATGAGACTAGTTGGGTCATTGACAGTGAGATTTCCATTCATGCTACACCGAGACGTGAGGTAGTTACTATCTACACTTATGGTAATTTTGATTCCATTAAGATGGGTAATGATGGCTTGCCCCAAGTCGTTGGCATTGCAGATGTTTGCTTGGATACTAGTCTGGGTACTAGATTGGTGCTTAGGGTGTTAAGCATGTCCCCGATGTACAGTTGAACTTGATCTCAGCAAGAATACTTGATGACGAGGGTTTCTGCAGTACGTTCACTGATGGACAGTGGAAACTTACCAGAGGCCTATGGTTGTGGCTCGGGGTACGAAGTCTTTATCATTATATATGATGCAAGCTAAGCTTTCTAAGAACATTATTACTAACTTGGAGAGTGAGAATTTTGTTGAGTAATGGCATAAGAGGCTCGATCGCATGAGTACAAAAGGAATGTTTGTGTCCCTTCACGAGATCTTGGGTTACATTTGAAGAAGTGTGACCATTTTTTTTGCAGGGAAACAACATAGAGTACATATTCAAATCTTCAACACCTTCAGTAAAGCCAGAGATACTTGATTTGGTGCATTCAGATGTGTGTAGTCCGTTGAAGACAAGGTCTCTTGGTGGCACTTCATACTTCATCACCTTTATCGATGATCATTCGACAAAGTTGTGGGATTATATTGTGAAAAGTAAAGATTAAGTTTCGAGTATATTCAAGAAATTTAAAGCATTGGTTGAGAGACAAACTGGAAAGAAATGGAAGTGTATTCGAAATGACAATGAAGATGAATACTCTGGACCATTTGACGTCTATTGCAAATTACTTGGTATTATACATAAAAAGACGCCGCCAAAGACACCATAGTTGAAAGAATTGGCAGAAAGGATGAAGATAACTATTATGGAGAGAGTAAGATGTTTGATCTCTCAGTCAGGTTTGCCTTATTCCTTTTGGGATGGAGCTTTGAGCACTATGGTTCATATCTTGAACCTATCACCTAGCGCACCATTAAAGGGTGATGTTCCAGAAAGAGTGTGGATTGGTAAAGATGTATCTTACGGTCATTTAAAAGTGTTTGGGTGCAAATATATTGTACATGTTTCTAAGGATGAGAAGTCTAAGCTTAATGCAAAGTCGAGACAGTGTGTGTTCATCGGCTATGGTTAGGACTATTTTGCATAGAGGTTTTATGATCCAATTGAGAAGAAGCTTATTAAAAGTAGAGGTGCAGTTTTCACGGAAGATCAGACTATCAAAGACATTGATAAATGTAAAACTCCATCTCAGGACAATGAGGGTTTGATTGATGCATGGTTGGCTCATTGGACATCAATTCAAGGTACCGTTGAGGGTGAGGTTTAGTCAGTTACACCTAGTGCAAATTCTCCTAATGGTGTTGGTGATGATGATCATAGTGAGATACCACCTGTCAAGAATCCACGTATTCCTAGAAGGTCAGAAAGAGAGCGGGTACCATTGAAGAAATATAGTCCTACTGGATATAAAATCTAACTTAAGGGGGAGAACTAGAGAGCTTTGATGAGGCTCTCAATGATGAACACAAGGATGAGTGGCTAAAGTCTATGAATGAAGATGGATTCTTTGCCAAGAATAGCACATTTGAGCTAGTGAAGTTACCTAAATGTAAGAAGGCATTGCTTAACAAGTGGGTATTTAGAGTTAAGCATGAAGAGCATAGTTTGCATCCTCGGTTCAAGGCTAGATTGGTTGTTAAGGGGTTCCATCAAAAGAAAGTGGTTGATTTTGATGAGATCTTTTTTCCTATTGTGAAGATGTTGTCCATTCGGGTTGTTCTCGGATTCGTAGCGAGTCTTCACTTAGAGGTTGAGCAAATAGATGTGAAGACAACTTAACTTCACGGTGATTTAGAGGAAGAATTTACAGAATCCAACCTGAAAAGGATTTGTTGAAAAAGGCAAAGATCATGTGTGTCGTATAAAAAAAAAGTCTTTATGACTTGAAGCAAACACCTAGACAATGGTACAAGAAGTTTGAGTCGGTTATGGAGAAGCATGGTTATAAAAAGACGACTTTTGATCACTGTGTGTATGTGAAAAGATTCTTTGAAAAATGATACTATCATCTTGTTATTGTATGTGGACGATATGTTGATCGTGGGCAATAACTTGGAGAGGATAATTGGACTGAAGAAAGATCTGAATAAGTTCTTTGCTACGAAGGATTTGGGACCAGAAAAGCAGATTCTTGGAATAAAAATTATTCGGGATAAAAGTCGTAGGATGATGTATATATCACAAGAGAAGCATATTGAGAAAGTGCTTCAGAGGTTCCATATGGAAAAAATCTAAAGTTGTGAGTTCACCTTTTTCTGCACACTTTACATTGAACAATAAATTGTCCAAGTACAAATTCAGAGAAGAATGACATGAGTCATGTCCCATATACCCTTGTTGTGGGGAGTATGATATATGTCATGGTTTGTACAAGACCAGATTCAGCTGATGATGTTGGAGTTGTTAGTTGTTTTCTTTCTAACCCATAAAGAGAACATTGGAAGGTAGCGAAGTGGGTTTTAAAGTATCTTAGAGGGATTTCTGGTATGAGGCTCGCACTTGCTGGTGAAAAGCCTTTTTCTAATCGGTTACAGTGATTCTGATATGGCTGGAGATAACGATCTTTTTAAATCTACTTTTGGCTACTTGGTAACTTTTGCAGGTGGGGCTGTATCATGGCAATCGAAATTGCAGAAGTGCATTGCACTTTCTCCCACTGAGGCTGAGTTTATTGCTGCAACTGAAACTTGTAAGGAGCTATTGCATATGAAGAGCTTCTTAGAGTAGATTGGCTTCAATCAAGATAGGTATGTGTTGTTTTTTTTATAGTCTAAGTGGCATTCATCTTGGGAAGAATTCGAAATTTCATTCTAGATCGAAGTATATCAATGTTAAATATCATTGGATACGAGATGTCGTAAATTCCAAGGAGATTGAACTTGTAAAGGTTCATATGGATGATAATGGGGCTGATATGATGAAAGAATCATTTCTTAAAGGGAAGCTCAAAATTTGTTGCAGGATCGCCGGAATGGCAGTTTCCTCCACTTAGTCGGAATGGGGAATTTGTTGGGTTTTTCTCCTAAGTGAGAAAAATAATTTTTGTAAGTGTTGATATGATTTGGTTTAATTAAATATTAAAAATAATTCTATTTATAAAAAAAATTAAGAAAAGCACAAGGAAATTTGGATAGAGATTACACCATTAAGAGACAATCGGGATAGACAAGAGATGAGAGGGAGAAAAAACTATGTTTCGTGCAGGGCTGATTGGGCAATCGATTAGAGGATCATTCGTTGTCCGATCAAGGTGAAATTTTGTGGAGAACTTCTACACACATTAATCTTTATTTGGAATGGTGGGTTTTTTATTTTGACGGTTAGATTAGAAATAATGAAGGTTTTATCAAAGTTGTACTCAGTAGGATTCTTGACTACGTGGATTTAGTTTTTGGATAAATCGCATGGTAAGTTCTTCTCTGATCAAGTGAAATTTGGTAGGCATATTCCTAACTTCTAAAGCTATGATTTGTATGGTGTGATTTGAATTTGGCTTCCAGAATCAGAAGTTGTATGGCCGTGTGT